TATGGAGCCACGAAGCGTGTGAGGGGTGTGCCGAAATGGGTGTGGGTGACGCATGCGGAGCGGACGGGCATGGGGTCCTTCGGTGGAGCTCCCTATGAAGCCACGAAAAACGTGTGAGGGATTGTGGCCGAAATTGGTTGGTGGGTGACGCATGCGGGCTTCGTTGGGGACTCCTATGGAGCCACGAAGCGTGTGAGGGGTGTGCCGGTGGGTGTGGGTGACGCATGCGGCCGCAGGGGCCTGGGAGCCTTCGGTGGAGCTCCCTATGGAGCCACGAAACGTGTGAGGGGTTGTGCCGAAATTCGGGTGTGGGTGACGCAAGTTCGGGCGCGGGCACTGGGGCCTTCGGTGAGCTTCCCTATGGGGCGGACACGAAAACGTGTGAGGGGTTGTGCCGAAAATGGTGTGGGTACGCATTGCGGGCGCGGGCACTGGGGCCTTCGGTGGAGCTCCCTATGCAGCCACGAAGCGTGTGAGGGGTGTGCCGAAATGAGTGTGGGTGACGCATGCGGGCGCGGGCACTGGGGCCTTCGGTGGAGCTCCCTATGGAGCCACGAAACGTGTGAGGGGTGTGCCGAATTGAGCGTGGGTGACGCATGCGGGCGCGGGCACTGGGGCCTTCGGTGGAGCTCCTATGGGGCTACGTAGCGCTGTACTGGGTGGGTGAAACGCAGGGAAGAGGGGGAGGAGGGAGGGGGCAGCGGGAGGAGGGAACGCGGGGCACCGTCCCTTCAAAACGAGGACCCAACACCACAGGACGGTTGGGAATTATCCTGGCGAAGGACCCAACCATATGCAGTTGTGAGTATCGCAATTGCATGAAAGGACCGCACCGAACCGAGAACCGAGAACCGTGACCGAACCGGACCGAACCGGTCCAAAACCAGGAACGTAGAAAACCGAACCGGACCGAACCGAATGCATTCAGAACCGAACCGGCGAGGACCGAACCGAACCAGAACCGGAACCGAACCGGAACCGGGCGGCCCCTGAACCGAACCGACGGGGACCGAACCGAACCCCTCTGGCGGGCTGCGACCCCCCTGGCGGGCTGCGACCTCCCTGGCGGGCGCGACCCCCCTCGCGGGCTGTGACCCCCCTGGCGGGTGCGACCCCCCTCGCGGGTGCGACCCCCCTGGCGGGCGCGACCCCCCTCGCGGGTGCAACCCCCCTGGCGGGCGCAACCCCCCTGGCGGGCGCAACCCCCCTGGCGGGTGCAACCCCCCTGGCGGGCGAGACCCCCCTGGCGGGTGCAACCCCCCTGGCGGGCGCAACCCCCTCTGGCGGGCGCAACCCCCCTGGCGGGCGCAACCCCCCTGGCGGGTGCAACCCCCCTGGCGGGCGCAACCCCCCTGGCGGGCGCAACCCCCCTGGCGGGTGCAACCCCCCTGGCGGGCGCACCCCCCTGGCGGGTGCAACCCCCCTCTGGCGGGTGCAACCCCCCTGGCGGGTGCAACCCCCCTGGCGGGTGCAACCCCCCTGGCGGGCGCAACCCCCCTGGCGGGTGCAACCCCCCTGGCGGGTGCAACCCCCCTGGCGGGTGCAACCCCCCTGGCGGGCGCAACTGGCGCAACCCCCCTGGCGGGCGCAACCCCCTTGGCGGGCGCAACCCCCCTGGCGGGCGCAACCCCCCTGGCGGGTGCAATCCCCCTCCTGGCGGGTGCAACCCCCCTGGCGGGTGCAACCCCCCTGGCGGGCGCGACACCCCTGGCGGGCGCGACCCCCCTGGCGGGCGCGACCCCCCTGGCGGCGCGAACCCCCTGGTGGGCTGCGACCCCCTCTGGTTAATAGCGGGTGTGAACCCCCGTGGCGAGGTCTCGATTTCCACCCTGGCGGGGCTCGCGACCCCACCTCGCGGTGCAAACCCCCCCACCCCCCCCTTTGGGGCCGGGTGGCGAGACCCCCCTGGCGGGCGCGACCCCCCTGGCGGGCGCGACCCCCTCTGGCGGGTGCAACCCCGCTGGTGGGTGCAACCCCCCTGGCGGGTGCAACCCCCCTGGCGGGCGCAACCGCCCTGGCGGGTGCAACCCCCCTGGCGGGTGCAACCCCCCTGGCGGGCGCGACCCCCGTGGCGGGCGCGACCCCCCTGGCGGGCTGCGACCCCCCTGGCGGGTGCAACCCCCCTGGCGGGCTGCGACCCCCCTGGCGGGCGCGACCCCCCTGGCGGGTGCAACCCCCCTGGCGGGCTGCGACCCCCCTGGCGGGTGCGACCCCCCTGGCGGGCGCGACCCCCCTCGCGGGCGCGACCCCCCTCGGGGCTGCGACCCCCCTCGGGGCTGCGACCCCCCTCGGGGCTGCGACCCCCGTCGGGGCACGTCGCTGGAGGGCCTCGCGCCTCCACGCCTCCACGTTTCTCCTCCTCCTCCTCCTCCTCCTCCTCCTCCTCCTCCTCCTCCTCCTCCTTTTCCTCCTCGTCGTCCTCCTCCCTCCTCCGCATCCGCCTCCGCCTCCGCCTCCGCCTCCTCCTCCTCCTCTTCCTCCTCCTCTTCCTCCTCCTCTTCCTCCTCCTCCTCCTCCTCCTTCTCCTCCCTCCCTTTTTTTCAAACTGGGTCGTCGCTTACGCAGACGGGGCGCCCAACGTCGCACCTGACCAGTCGGGCCGAACCGAACCGGAGCGGCCACTCGAACCGAACCGAACCGGTCGGATCCAACCGCGCGAAAACCGGAACCGAACCGAACCGAACCGGCAGGCCCAAGCCGAACCGGCCGAAACCGGACCGATGCCAAACCGAACCGGCCAAGCAAAACCGACCCGGCTGCAGAACCGGACCGAACCGAACCGAGCCGATCCCTTCATGCAATTGTGAATATCTTCTTCGGTGGCGCTCCCTATAGGGCCACGAACCGCATGAGGGGTGTGCCGAAATGTGGCGGGGTACACAACGCAAAGGAATACGATAGATCTGATTACGAGAGAAAGAACGCGGGTGAGTCAGAGCGCGAGGGAATCTGAGTATGAATGGGTCTGCGCGCGGGTGAATATATTTGCATGAATGCGATCATGGAAACGCCTAGTGTAAGTGTATATGAATGTGAATGGTTCGAGCATGCCTGTCCGAACACACGTGACACTGGGCGTGGCCGCCGCAGGCAGCTTCCGCGGGAACCCCGACGGCAGCGTCCGCACGTCGCGACGCCCATGTCGGCACGCCTCTTGCGAGGATCGCGCCCGCTTTCGGCTCTTCTTTTCCTTCCTCTTTGCCCGCGCACTCCAAAATCCAAGGCTGCGGGCGCAGCGCAGCGCGGAGTCCCCGCGACGCGCGCTGGTCGCCCCGGGCGGGGTCCCAGCGACGCGCGCGGGTCGTCCGCTGCGCGAAGCAGAGAGAGCTGACTAGCTAACTGGCTGGCTGATAGCGGGCAAGTCTCTGACCGCTGGGCAGAGCGACGACGGGCGAACGAGGCGCCGGGCCCCCCGCAGCACGGAGTTCCCGCGACGCGCGCTGGTCGCCCCGAGAGGGTCCCAGCGACGCGCGCGGGTCGTCCGCGGCGCGAGGCCACGACGACGGCGACGACGACATCCACCAGGCCACTCCTCCACCGCTCGTTTACGGCGACCACAGCGAGAACACCGGAAAGGCCCCCGATGGTGAAATGGAACCTCTCGCGAATGCAACGCAAAATCCATACGAGGGGGAGCGGGCATCCTCCTCCTCCTCCTCCTCCTCCGCCTCCGCCTCCTCCTCCTCCCCAGAGGTCAAGAGCTGTTCCCAGAAACTTTGGATGTGGCGGACGCATGTTGGCGGTGGCACTGAGGCCTTCGGTGGAGCTCACTATGGGGCCACGAAGCGTGTGAGGGGTGTGCCGAAATGTGTGTGGGTGACGCATGCGGGCGCGGGCACTGGGGCCTTCGGTGGAGCTCCCTGTGGGGCCACGAAACGTGTGAGGGTGTGCCAACATGGGTGGGGGTGACGCATGCGGGCGGCGGCACTGGGGCCTTCGGTGGAGCTCCCTATGAAGCCACGAAGCCTGTGAGGGGTGTGCCGAAGTGGGTGGGGTTGACGCATGCGGGCGGCGGCGCTGGGGCCTTCGGTGGAGCTCCCTATGAAGCCACGAAGCCTGTGAGGGGTGTGCCGAAGTGGGTGGGGTTGACGCATGCGGGCGGCGGCACTGAGGCCTTCGGTGGAGCTCCCTATGGGGCCACGAATCGTGTGAGGGGTGTGCCGAAATGGGTGGGGGTGACGCATGCGGGCGGCGGCACTGAGGCCTTCGGTGGAGCTCCCTATGGGGCCACGAAACGTGTGAGGGGTGTGCCGAAATGGTGTGCGACGCATGCGGCCGCGGGCACTGGGGCCTTCGGTGGAGCTCCCTATGGGGCCACGAAGCGTGTGAGGGGTTGGCCGAAAGTGGAATGGGGGTGACGCATGCGGCCGCGGGCACTGGGGCCTTCGGTGGAGCTCCCTATGGGGCCACGAAACGTGTGAGGGGTGTGCCGAAATGTGTGTGGGTGACGCATGCGGCCGCGGCCACTGGGGCCTTCGGTGGAGCTCCCTGTGGGGCAACGAAGCGTGTGAGGGGTGTGCCGAATGGTGTGGGGGACGCATGCGGGCGGCGGCACTGGGCCTTCGGTGGAGCTCCCTGTGGGGCCACGAAACGTGTGAGGGGTGTGCCGTGGGTGTGGTGACGCATGCGGCGCGGGCACTGGGGCCTTCGGTGGAGCTCCCTATGGGGCCACGAAACGTGTGAGGGTTGTGGCCGAATTGCTGCGCGACGCATGGCACTGGGGTTCCTATGGGGCCACGAAGCGTGTGAGCGGTGTGCCGAAATGTGTGTGGGTGACGCATGCGGCGCGGGCACTGGGGCCTTCGGTGGAGCTCCCTATGGGGGCCACGAAACGTGTGAGGGGTGTGCCGAATTGGGTGTGGGTGACGCATGCGGCCGCGGCCACTGGGGCCTTCGGTGGAGCTCCCTATGGGGCCATGAAACGTGTGAGGGATGATGATGATGATGATGATGATGATGATGGGAGGGAGGAGGCAGCGGGAGGAAGGAAGGAAGGAGAACGCGGGGCACCGTCTCTTCAAAACGAGGACCCAACACCACAGGATGGTTGGGAAAAAACAATCCAGAGGAGGCCTCAGCACTTAAGTCTGGCCTCTAACTCGACCAGTCCCTTTACCCGTCCTAGGTCTACGTTTCGGCTGACATTGCGGGGGGTCCGTAGAGCCCGAAAGTTGAACTCTCCCTCTCTCAGAAACGCACTGTCTGGGTCCCCCAGTTCCAAACGAATTCACAGACGCCGCTAGATTACTGCTACTGCTTCTCGGATGTTGTAGATCACCTGGGCCTGTACCTTGATTCACACCAGCCCCTTCCATCTGGGGACCTCCAAAGCCTGAAACCTGACGGTCATGGTCTACCACCTCTGGTGTGTCTTGCCCCCTTTGAGCAGTTTCTGCAACGAGTTCTGAAACTTGCGCTCGGGCCCTCCCATCGGTGGCGGACCCGGCTTCGGCACGGACCCGAGCTTCATGAGACACTTCGAGACCAGCAGGTTGGCAGGCACGGTCACCATGTTGGGAGGCTCTCCGATGGGCACAGGCGCATGAATGTAGAACGTGCGACGCACGCTCATATCCTCTCCCTCTTTGGGGTAAGCCGACTTCGCCCGCCAATGTTTGATGTATTCCGCCGCTAACTCCATCGTCTCTTCTCGAATCCGCTCCACAAGGCCCGTGAGGCCTACCACTTCCGCTCGAATGTCCTGCGCGTCCCTGATGACTGGTTGAACCAAGAGGAATGTCAGCACCGCCATAGCCACCATGATAGACGGAGGGCCGATTTGAGCCGTGGGGTCCTGCTCCACCGTGGTCGTGTAGTGCTGCTCTGCTGCCACCGCGTGCGCATTCAAGATGCACTCCTTGTCCATCAAGTGGGCGCTGAGCAGGCAACCCTCCAGCGCCCCCGTGCGCTGCGTGACGTTCAGCACCTGCTTGAGCGTTTCCTGCGCCGTTTCGTCCTCGGAGTCCGACACATCGGCGTCCATCAGTGCTGGAGCTGCCGCAGCTGGGCCCTTCGGGCCTGCTGATGCCACCGCCACTGCTGATCCTCCCGCAGCCCTCTGAGGCTGATGATCTCCTCGTCGTGGGCGTGCCTCCTTTCCGTAGCCACCAGCTGAGAAGGCGTCGTGAGAGCTCACTAGCCTCTTCCCCGCTGCCGTGAGCTGCTCCTGAGACAAGGCCAGCGCCTGCCACATCAGCTTTGGAATCGGGCCGCTCGAAAGTGAAGTGGGCAGCGGGGTCTAAGTGTACGTGTGAACGGATGTGTACCTGCAGAGCCTAAAGGCTGAGGCTATCCACGCCATATGCTGGGCACATCAAATATTCTGGCTCGACGATTGGATATCGCAAGTGACCTCGATCAGCCTGACACTTATGATGCAAAAACAATCGACGCACATGGTGTCGAGCGATGGGTCGATTCGATAATACACTCGTACACCAAGGGCATTGATTAGCAACTGTAAGTACATTGCTCAGCGCGCGGTGCCCGTGCGTGCCTCCCTTGGTGAACCTCATGTGAGCATACCACGCCATACGATAAGGAGGACGAGGAGGAGGAGGAGGACCCCCCATCCAACGTATGGTGATGGTGGTGGAAAACAAGCCCATCAGGGCGGGCCTTCTCAGAAGGCTCGAAAGTCCCTGGGCCGAGAAGTCTGCCAAAGCATCCCCCGAGGACGGAACACCAAAAATAAACCTGACGAAAAACCCAACCAGATGCAGCTGCGAGTACCGCATCGTGGGAACCGCTTTCGGTGGAGCTCCCTGTGGGGGCCACGAACCGCGTGAGGGGTGTGCCAAAATGGGTAGCAGTCCCCGCATGCGGCCTGTGCCGCTGAGGCATTTCGCGGAGCTCCCTGTGGAGCCACGAACCGTGTGAGGGGCGTGCCAAATGGGCGGCTGTCCCCGCATGCGGCCTGTGCCGCTGGGGCCTTCGGTGGAGCTCCCTGTGGAAACGTTGCCATGCCTTACATGTCTATATTCATTTCCGGGTTCGTGGGTCGATCATGGTTCCGCGAGATGCTCCAAGATCTCCCTCGAGAACCCTTTCCGAGCAACACATGCATGATGGGCCTGGTTTCCACTACCACCACCATAAGTTGGAGGGGGAGGGGGTCCTCCTCCTCCTCCTCCTCCTCCTCCTCCTCCTCCTCCTCGTCCTCCTTCTCCTCGTCCTCCTCCTCCTCCTCCTCCTCCTCCTCCTCCTCCTCCTCCTCCTCCTTCCTCCCCCTCCTCCTCCTCCTCCTCCTATTCGTCCTCCGCATCCTTTTCGTCCTCCTCCTCCTCCTCCTGGTCCTCATCCTTCCCCCCTCCAACTTATGGTGGTGGTGGACAACCAGCCCATCAGTGCACACGTCAAAGCGATGCCGAGCCGGGCGGTCGCCCAAGCCGATGCCGAAGTCCCCCCCCTGCCCTCGCGCCGCGAGGAGCGCGGGGCCCGGGGCGCGGCCACCTGCCGCGCACCCGTGTGGGTGCCCCAGAGGAGGTCGGTTTTTTCCAGGGCGGGCCACGGAGCACGAAGTGCGGCGGAAAACGTCGCGCTGATGCGGGCGACCTGGCCGAAGAAAAAAGAGGAAGATCAGGTGAGCGTTGTCTTGCTCGGGATTTCGACATTGCAGCCGCGCGTCCTGTGGGGGAGACCCCGCCTGCTCGAAACAGGCGCCCAAGACAACCAAGATCTACTCCAGGGGGAGGAGGGGAGGAGGAGGAGGAGGAGGAGGAGGAGGAGGAGGAGGCGGAGGAGGATGAGGAGGAGGAGGAGGAGGAGGAGGAGGAGGAAAAGGAGGAGGATGAGGAGGGGGAGGGAGGGGGGGAGGAGGGGGAGGAGGGGGGACAGGGGGAGGAGGAGGAGGAGGAGGAGGAGGAGGAGGAGGAGGAGGAGAGAGGAGGAGGAGGAGGAGGAGGAGGAGGGAGGAGGAGGAGGAGGGAGGAGGGCGAGGAGGAGGGAGGAGGAGGAGGATGAGGAGGAGGAGGAGGAGGAGGAGAGGAGGAGAGAGGAGGGAGGAGGGGAAGGAGGAGGAGGAGGAGGAGGAGGAGGAGGAGGAGGCGGAGGCGAAGGAGGGAGGAGGGAGGAGGAGGAGGAGGAGGAGGAGGAGGAAGAGGAGTCGGAGTCGGAAGCCTTGGCAGTTCGGTTGCCTCTGTCTCGTTACTGGCAGAGGCTGCTCGCCTGGTGCTCGAGCTTGGGTCTGCTGGCTGTTTCATTCGGCGTGGCAGAGGGATGCCTGCGGGACCCATTGGCTTATCGAGCCTCTCGGGCCCGCTTCGACACTGGACCGAAAATCCCTCCAACGCAAAAAAAAACACAGAACGGGTGGGAGGTTATCGCACGCTGGCGCGTCCCTCCCACTCTCGGGCGAGGTCAAATCGATTCCGAAAATCTCGTGGCCTCTATACTTATAGCCGCTACAAATACTGTCGCACACTCCCTCCCCCACACTCCCACCTCCCCCCAACCCGTCATCTCTACTTGCCTAATGGCCTAACGCCAGTTAGGCGTTGAAGTATTTTTGTTGCTCTCACACTGCATGCTACTACCTGGCGCCTCAATCCTCGAATGCCTACTCCATGCTCTGCCTCTGGCGCACGTGCTTCTGCACCTGCCGCTCGAGCGCGGTCGGTGGCGGAGCTCCTATGGTCGCCAAGCCCCCTGTTGCCTGCATCGCCCCGTGCATCGTGGCCTTGATCTGAGGGATGCTGAGCGGTTCCAGCTTGGTCGTGCTCTCGGTATTGCCCGCCCTGATCTTGTTGATCTCGTCCTCCGCGTGGCCGTCGAACGGGCTGAGGCCGAGCGGGTTTATCGTGATGTGTACCTTCCACCGCTCCTGTTGTCCGTTTTTCTAGTAGGCTTTCTTCATCCTCTTGAGCCTCACGAGGTCGGCGAACTCGTTGAACGGGATCACGTCCATGATCATGCTGGGCTTGCCCATGTCCTCCTTCAGGTGTGACGGTAGAATCTCGGCTCGACCCAAGGTGTCCAGGTACTCCGCTGCCACGTAGACGCGCGGGCTGCCCAGGTCCTTCTCCCCTGACTGGCTGCGCTCCGCATATTTCCCGCCCGCTGCCGACCCCTCGTTGGCCGCCGCGTGGTTGTTGCCGTCCACCAGGAAAAAATCCCACGAACTGCCTGATCTGCTGCTTTCTTCGAAGCTCCTGCATGCGACGCGACAGCTCCTTCAACTGCTGCTCGACGCGGTCAAACTCGATGGGGCCGTTCCCCTCGAAACTCTTGCTCCCAGTGAGGTGCCGTCGTTGCCGTAGTTCTCCTCTCTCACGTATGAGCTGCATCCTCTGCTCACTCAACAGCTTGTAGTCGATGATGTTATTCTCTTGTTTGGGGAGATGCTCGGTCATCCTGTCTCTGATGCACGCTGATAACAAGTTCCACGCTGTTTGTACTTCTCCATGGTCCCAAGTAGCTCGCCACTGGTCTTCTGGAATCATATTTGTCTTTTCTTCGAACTTCTCGAGAAATCCTTGCCTGCGGTATCCTTTCGAATATGCTGTCATCATCGCATCACGGTTAGCTGGGGGCGTAAACTGTGCTTGGCAAGCTCCATTAATTCCAACATCCATTTCCAGCAATACCGGTACGTGATCGTGTAAATGTGTCGATCCATACTTTTGCATCCTTCTTCCAAGCATTTGAAGCGTATTGAGTCTCTTGACGCGAGCAAGTGCTCTCTGCGGCATGATGACGTGGTCAATCTTGCTGCGATGCTTGCCCTGGAAGAAAGTCGCGCCTGATCTCCAAAACGTGTCTGCTACTGCCATGTGGTTCTCCGCTAGAAATTCTCGGATTTTGACTGATATCTTTCCCTCTAGGGCGGGCTCCTGGATCCCCACCTCGTCGGTCTCCTTGACGTACTTCTTGCCCGTCGTGTCCATCCTGACCCCGAACGTGCAGTTCAGGTCACCTATGATGAGCGGGAGACAGTTGCTGCCCATCGTGTCAATCTCCTGCTGGATCCAGTTCAGCGCCACCTTCACCGTGTTCTAGAGTGTCTTCGCCGCGGCTCCCTTTGGAGGTAGGTATAGCGGGAATATAGCTAACTTCATGCTTCCCAGATGAAATCGTACCTCTCCCAGTCGGCCCGATAGTCCGCGTGACTTGGGTGGTACTTGGATGCTAATCACTGTGCCCGTCAAGCGCTTTCCGTACAGGAGGGCAAGCCCGCACGATCGATTCGAAACTTTACTCTTTTCCCAACCAAACTGAATTGCTCGATGATGCGGTAGTTGACACTGGGTGATCTCGCTCTCGATGTGTGCTGCTTTTCCAGTGCCTATGCAGACAACGATGTCGTTTGTCTCAGTGTACTCTGAAATCTCCTCGAGGCGCCCATAGTCGGCGCTCTGCACGTTGTGACAAATGATCTTCATAGCCCAAAACAGGAAAGGGAGTGTGCTCATGCTGGCTCTGGCCCGAGACGGTCCAGTCCCGCTGCGCTGCCCTGGGTGCGGTGCTCACATGGGGTTCGATGAGCAAGCGCGCGGTCGGAGCTGAGCGGTGTCCTGGGCCAGAGTTGCTCCTGGAGGAGGAGGAGGAAAAAGAGGAGGAGGATGGGGGAGGAGGTGGAGGAGGGGGAGAGGGGAGGGAGGAGGAGGAGGAGGGGGAGGGGGGAGGAGGAGGAGGAGGAGAGAGGAGGAGGAGGAGGAGGAGGAGGAGGAGGAGGAGGCGGAGGGAAGGAGCAGGAGGAGGAGGAGAGGGGAGGAGGAGGAGGAGAGGAGGAGGAGGAGGAGGAGGAGGAGGAGGAGGAGGAGAGGAGAGGAGGGGGAAGAGGAGGAGGAGGAGGAGGAGGAGGAGGAGGAAAAAAGAGATGGAGGAGGAGGGGAAGGAGGAGGGTGAGGAGGAGGGGGAGAGGGAGAAGGAGGAGGGGAGGGGGAGGAGGGGGGGGGGTGCGAGGGCCCGCGCCGATCGGCAAAACAGGGAATGAGAGAATGACCACCAGCATGAAGGCAGCGCGGGCCCTCTGGAGGCCTGGAGGCCTGGGTGGCGCCTCCCGCCGTCTCCAGAGCTCCCGGGGCCCTCTCCGCGGGCCCAGGGGCCCAGACCCTACGTAGTCCTCCTCCGCCTCCTCCGCCTCCTCCGCCTCCACCTCCTCCTCCGCCTCCTCCGTCTCCTCCTCCTCCTCCTCCTCCTCCTCCTTCACATCCTCCTCATCAACCTCCTCCTCCTCCTCTACAGGAGGTGGAGGTCTACGCAGGGTCTTCGTAGGGTCACTTGACAAACTGGACCCCGGGGTCTACGGTGGGAGCTTGACCACAAGGAACCGTGCACAAGAAACACAGCCCTGGAACCCCAGAACTTCCATCACGCTTTCCACAGCAAAACCGTCGAAACCCAAGCAATCCAGGGCACCCTGGAGGCAAGCAGGGTGTTTCTTGGCATGGGTCTCAACTGTAGGGCCTGTGAGAAACGGAGTACAAGTGCATCAGCAGTTACGAGGGCGTTGCGGATCTGCATGTGCTACGTCGCGGAGCGCCATAGCAAGCTCTTTGATGCGGAACTTTCCGGCGATCTGACCCTGCAGCTTGCCCCCCCCGACCAACGACTGTGCGAGTGACACATTGCGGGACAACCCATGCGACGTGCACGAGCAAAAAAACAGTTCGAAGGTCTGCGCGAACTTCTTTGGTCGGCGCTGGGTCCCCCCCTCCACTCCCCCCCTTGCCTGGCGCGCGGCGCGCGCCGGGGGTGGCGCTGGAGGCACCGCCTGGGTGCAGGGAGGAACGGGTTCCAGCGTGTGTGGCGCACCAGGCCTCCTAGTGCGGAAGTGCATGATCGGCCTCGCGGGCTCAAGAGAGCAAGGTGCCGTCACAGCCCTGGCGGGCGTGGTCCCACCTGCTCTCTTGAAGTTACTGCCCTCGCCCCGTGCGGCGCTGCTCTCGGGCAGGACCTGATGGGCCTGTTTTCCACCACCACCACCAGAAGTTGGAGGGGGAGGGGGTCCTGCTCCTCCTCCTCCTCCTCCTCCTCCTCCTCCTCCGCCGCCGCCTCCTCCTCCTCCTCCTCCACCTCCTTCCCCCCTCCAACTGATGCTGGTGGTGGTGGACAACAGGCCCATCAGGACCCGCTGACCCTGTCGGCGCGTGAATTGGGGGAGAGTCCTCGAGGCGGTCGAGGACATGTTGTGTTGGTCAACGCACTTTTCACGATGCTTTGCGCGACACGAAGCGTTATAGAACCCGTTGTTTCCAGACCGTATCCTAATGTAACATGTACGCATCCGCCACCGTGCGGTAACCACATTGACATCGTGGATTGTCCTCAAGTCCCTTCGAGTTCTCCGCGTTGAATATTGCAATGCTACTCTGAAGTCGGGCGTGTCCCCCTACAGGGGGATTTTGGGCGAAAAATAAAACATACTCAAAAAGTACCCCCCGAATACTTAAAAATAGTCAAAAAAATCGCCCTCAGCTTTTCCACTATTTTTGAATATTCCCCCGTAGAAAGACACGCCCGACTTCTTGCTACTCTCGACGGGGCCCACCAAGTCAATCCAAGATCTCTCTTGGGGCTTCCCGCGTGCCTCCTGGGGCTTCCCGCGCGACCTCTCCACAGGCCAGCAACTACTGAACAGCCTTGTGCTTGCCACTACTTTCGGGCCCGGAGGATAGAAAGCCAAAAACCCCAGGCGCTCCCTTGCGCTAACATGGCCCCGAGATCGCCAACAGGACTCTGGAGCCCCCGAGAGGTCCCGAGGAGGCCCCAGGGTGGCCCCGGGAGAGACGCCGCGCCGCCCCAAAAGCTCTCCCCGGCTCGCCGGCCCGCGGTGCGCGGACCCAGGCCGCCGTCGAGCCGAAGGGGAACAAGATGATCGGTGCCTGCGTGCCCAAACGTGTTCCTTTGCGGAGCGGGGCTCCCTGGCGCGAGCGGCCGAACGACCCCTGCAGCGGGACACTCGGGGAGCACGGCTGCCGCCGCAAAAACTCTCGGCTTGACGCTGACACCGCGCAAAGGCGGCGCCGAGCAGCCCTGGGGAGGGGCCCCGGGTGGGGGGGCGGAGGGGGCGCACCCCCCTAGCCTTCCCGCCTCCCGGGACCGACTCGGGCGATCTTGGGCACAGACTGGCTGCGGTAGGAGCTTGACCACAAGGAACCGCCCACAAGAAACCCAAGCCTGGAACTCCAGGACGTCCATTGATTTCTGGCGTCACGCTCTCCACAGCACTACTATCGAAACTGGGGCACCCTGGAGGTAAGCAGGATGTTTCTTGGCATGGGCTTCCACTGTACGTGCTTAGGGGGAGGGGGAGGAGGAGGGGGAGTGGGGAGGGGAGGGGGAGGGGGAGGGGGAGGAGGAGGAGGAGGAGGAGGAGGAGGAGGAGGAGGAGGAGGAGGGATGAGGAGGGAGGAGGAAGCTGGGAGCAGGGAGGAGGGATGAGGAGGGAGGAGGGAAAGGGGGAGGAGGAGGGAGGGAGAGGGAGGGAGGAGAGATGTGCTTCTTGGCATGGGTTTCCACTGCACCCTTGGGTCGCCCAGGCCCGCTCGGGAGCCCTGTCGGGGGCCTGGCCCCTCGGCCCTCTCCTGGGAGCCTCGCGGGCCGCCTAGGGAGAGTCCGGGGGCCGGCCCAGGCTGTGTGGCATGGGAAGGGATGACAACCCCTTCGATTCTGGAATTCTACACCATTGTGGAACGCCTGACATGTAACTGTGAACCTGTGCACGTACGCATCGAGTGGCCGGAGATCTCCTGCGTGGCCAGCGGGGCCTTGCCTCGACCTGGCCATGCTGCACTTCGTGCTTGTCCCAGCGCTGGTGGCGGGACGCACTCTAGCAACAGAGGGGCCTGGAGCAAACCCGCGGGGAGAGGGAACAAGTGGTCCCATTCCACCTGGCGTCTAATTTGTCCCTAGCATGTCCCGGGAAGCGCCCGCCAGAACGTTCTGAGTGCAACGCGGGGGGGAAGAAGGCCCAAGAGGCCCCCCGAGACGAGCCAAAGATGGCCCAGGAGCTCAAGATGTCCCCAAGACTGCTGAGGACGGGCCCAAAAGGCACGCCACTGTGGCACCGCGAGGCAGCCAAACCCTTCAAAAGAATCCCCCGCAAGAGGTCCCAAGACGGCCGCGATTAGGCCACAGGGGTCCCCAGGAGCCCCCCAAGAAGCCGCCCAAGATCCCAAGAAATGTCCCCAAGGCCTCCAGAACGCGACCCAGGCGCGGTGGCGGGATGGGCCGAGGACACTCAGGTTTTCGCCGTCGCATGAAATCTGCTCCTGCCCCTGCCCCTCGGCCACTCGCCCTTCTTCCGCCTCTTGCGCCCGAGCTGGTCCCTTCTCGGGACTGGCGGAACCAGCCGCGAGGCCCCTGCGATATAATATAAAGCCACAGCCGGACAACGGAACGTTCGGCTGCAACCCATGGCAGCCTACTACCATACCGTCCTGCTCTCTCTTGCGAATCGACATTATTCGATGCTAAATCGACGCTCATTCGATACTAATCGACGCTTCACCACGCTAAGTCAGCGCTCTCTCATCGGCGATCCGACGCCAGCGCACGCCAACGCACTGCAGAGGCGGACTTGCGAGGACGTGCAGGGCTTCCATGATTTGCTGCCGGGAGAGCGGCGGGGTGGCCGCCGCGGGGGAGCCGTCGCGGTGACGCGAGATGGGCCGGGGCGAGGGGAAGACCTCCTCGCGGGGACCGCTCACGCAGCAGCCGCCGCCGCCAGCGCCGCCGCCAGCGCCGCCGCCAGCGCCGCCGCAGGTGGCCCGCGCCGCCGGCACGCCAGGGATGCGGCGGCGGGCGTCGGCGCGGGCGTGGGCGGCATGGGCGTCGGTGCCAGCGTGGGCGGCATGGGCGTCGGTGCCAGCGTGGGCGGCATGGGTGATGGGCTTGTTTTCCACCACCACCATCAGAAGTTGGAGGGGGAGGGGGTCCTGCTCCTCCTCCTCCTCCTCTTCCTCCTCCTCTCCTCCTCCACCTCCTCCTCCACCTCCTCCACCTCCTCCTCCTCCTCCTCCTCCTCCTCCTCCTCCGCCTCCTCCTCCTCCTCCTGCTCCTGCTCCTCCTCCTCCTCCTCCCTCCTCCTCCTCCTCTCCTCCTCCTCCTCCTCCTCTCCGTCCTCCGTCCTCCTCCTCCTCCTCCTCCTCCTCCTCCTCCTCCTCTCCGTCCTCCTCCTTCGCGTTCTCCTCATCCTTCCCCCCTCCAACGTATGGTGGTGGTGGTGGTGGAAAACAGGCCCATCAATGGGGGTCGGTGCCAGCGTGGGCGGCATGGGGGTCGGGGGCAGCGTGGGCGGCGCGGGAGTCGGGGGCGGCGCGGGCGTCGGGGGGCCGCCGAAGGCGGCGTCGTAGCAGCCCGGGTCGAGGGTCGCCTGGCGATGGGTGCGGTCGGGCTGGGTGCGGAGGGGATGGGCACGATGACCGACGGCCATCTCTGGCTCAGTTGGAACAGAAGACGGTTTTTTTGAATCGGCGATACCCCGGGTTATCCAGGGGGGAGGAGGAGGTGGCCGGCCGATAACCTAACCTTTGCGCTGTAGGCAGCCCTGCATATGCCCGCGTCCCCCCACCCCGGACCTGCACAACTGACAAGGTTGGGTTATCCTGGGGGGGTTGGGAAGGGAGGGCAAGCCCGATGACCCGGGTGATCGCCGGAACCTAAAAAAACAGTCTCCAGGACGTTGTCCATTTGAAGACAGAAGGTCGGCTGCCCAACAGCGGCCGCTGTCGGTGTTGGATCACATGTAATGTTGGGCGTCGTGCCCATCTGTGCCGTACCCATTTTGGCGGCGCGCACAGGGGGCTAGGGGAGGGAAGAAGGCTTCTTAGGAGGAGGCTGCTTCTTAGAAGACGCCGGCCTTGCATCTATAGAGAAGGCCCGCCCTTCTACGAAGCAAGGTGCTTCTAAGAAGCCTTCCCCCCTCCCGCTACCCCCCTCTGCGCGTGGCCGACCATTTCGGGCATCACAATGACGAGGGGGAGGCGAAAGGGGTCGCCAGTGCACTCGAACGAGGGTGAAGCGCTGAGGGTAGGGAGGGTATGGAAGGGCAGGATGGATGAGGAGAGGGGGACGGTGGGAAATTGAGCTGTGCTCCGCGAGCTCACTGCCGCTATCCAGGTGCGCCATCGCATACAGACCTTTGGCTGAGGAGAGTTGTTGTAGGAGCGCGGAACGTCCTTTGCACAAAAGCCTGACGCAACTCCACGTCCACGCATCCAGAGGCAAAAGGGGACTGGCTCGGGAGAAGGGGGGAATGCCCTGGAATAGACAATACATCGCCGATAGTTCGTCGATGGACACCTGCTAGAGGAACCACACACTCCTGGGTAGGGCGGGGTATCCTAGCACCAATCGGCGATCAATTGGAGAAAGAGGCTCAGTGCATCCACCTTTGGGCCCATCCAACCCGTTCGCCCCCCCGACGCCTTCGCATCCGAGAAGACGGCGCCCTCCGTGCCGGTGAGCAAGATGTAGCCCATCATCCCTTGGTCCTCGTGCGCGAGGATGTGACAGTGGATCACCATTTTACCAGTGAAGACATCGGTGTTCATCCGGACGGTCACGTCCACGTTGGCCCCTCCCCCTAGGCTGCCGATGAAGAGCGTGTCGTGCCAATCACCAGCTTGGAAGTAGCCGTCGTCGAGTGAGTCCGATCCATCCATGTCTTGGATCTGGAACGAGTTCACGTGGGAGTGCAGCGGGTGGTTGCCTACCCCATTTACTGCTATCTCGTAAACGGTACCTGTTGTAAAGCTCGTCAGTGCTGTCCACGATGCCATTCCCCCCGCAGATTCAGTGTTCGCGTAGTTCATGCTGTCGCCAGTCCCGTCCCAAGTCACAGACATAGCACCAAGATTGAAAGCCAAGGCACCCGATTGCCCACTCGGAATTGTGGCCTGCCGTAAGTCAGCAAGGTAGCACGGGCGGTCCAATGTGGTGGTCTGCAACGTCTCAACCGCACCGCCAACCGTTTCCGTGACGGAGACCGTGAGAAGGACAACATCTGCCACGTCCATACCAATATTACCGGGACCTTGGCCACCTTGGCCCTGACCCCCCCCTGGTGGGGGTGGCGGTGGCTGAAGCCTGCGCGCAGCTTGGGATCGCACCTCTGCGGTGCAAGGATACGTAGTGCATGCGCAGGACATGGCAACGTCCGCCCGAGAACCAGGATAGAGGTATATTGTATTAATCGCTCTCGGGATTTCGTTAAGATAGATGCCGTCCTTGGCAAGCAGCTGCAAGTCACAAGTGGCGTCTCCTTCCACTGTCACCGTGAGAGTCTGCTCCACAGCTGCGTATATCATGCGCAAGCGGTGCCACACGTGAGAGTCGATGGTCATGGTCCGCCCGAGCTGGCCGTTCACAAGGAAGACATTCGTGTCGAGACCAACAGCATCCGCGTCGGTCGCCGCCGTTTCCAGGACGGTGGACTGCGCGTCTATGGCGATATCCTGCAGCGTGACCAAGTTATGGCTGCTGATGAACAATACTTTCTCGACCATGTTGCTATACACCTCCGGCAAATAGCCCGCGGGGTCGTCCACGATGAGCACACCAGCTGCGCCACCGCCAGCCTGAAGAGAGGTGGCGTGGTGGAGGTGCGGGTGGTACCAATGCGTGCCGCCCATGTGGTAGTCCGGGATGCTGAACTCGTATTGCTTCGAGCTGCCAGGGCTGATCGAAGCAAACACATCGTCACTCGCGTACGTCAGCTCGTCCGAGCCCTTGGAAGACACGTGCAAGCCATGCGTGTGGAAGTTCGTCGTAGCGGCTTTGCAAAACTCAGTCCCCGTTACATCGCAACCAACACTGTTCGCGCTCAGTCCGCCACCGTGCCCCCCGGCACGTGGAAGCAGAATGGAATGCCAACTCGAAGCAAAGTTCTGTGCGCACCGACCCCAACCGACGCCACGGGCCGTCGTAAGCTACCCTGGATCCGCGCTCACCAGGCCACGGCCCCTTGCAAAAAAAAATGGATTTGCGCTCCCGAGGCCGCGATCCCTACGTAGCAAAACACCACGGGTCTGCGCTCCCGAGCTTCCAAGACGGCCGAGGCAGGCAACCAAGGACGCCACGATGGCCCACGATGCCTCCAAGACGGCCCGAGGTGGCCCCAAGACGGCCCCAAGACGGCCCAAGAGGCCCCCAAGACGATCCAAGGTGGCGACAAGAGGACCCCCAGTTGGACCCGCAGAGGCCAGCTCCATGGCTGTTTATGTATGTCTATATACATGTATGTGTGTACATATATATATACATATATATATATATATATATATATATATATAGATATGCACATATGCGGGCGCCTCCCCCGCCGTGTCTGGCTTCCTGCAGCCCAAGACGGCCATTGAGGCCTCCACGATGGCCCAGGACGGCCCCAACAAAACGTCAAGAATACCTCAAACAGGTCGGACAGCCCAGAGAGAGCCCCAAGCTGACCCAAGGGGGGCTCCAGAGGAGCCCAAGACGGCCAAGAGAGCCCCTCGACGGCCCAAAACTGCTCCCAAGCGGCCCCACGATGGCCCCAAGAGACACCGTTTTAAATTGCCAAGAAGGCCCCAAGACGGCCCAAGAGAGGCCCAGGAGAGGCCCAAGACGGACCAAGGGGGGAACAAAACGGTAAGCGAGGGCACTAAGGGACTCCTGAGACTGCCCCACAGGAACAAAAGACAACCCGAAGGCGGTCCAACTGAGCTCCACGCGAACTCCTCCAGAAGTGACACATCTGACGGCCGCCGTTGCTCCTCGAAGCGTTGACACCCAACGGGCTGAGCTGGCTCGGTGGCGGGACCTGCCGCAAGCACCTGGATAAATTGTTGACCACGGTCACCTGGAGAGTCTCGCCAGGTTTCATGCGGAACGTGTAGCCCTCCGTGTAAGTCCTCGTTTTGAACCCGTACGCCCCGCCTGCGAAGTCCACCAGCCCCTTTGGGGTCACCAGGCGTGTGAGATTACAGCACCCCCAAACCAAGCACAACATGTCAGGCTACAAAAGGGAGCCTGGGCTCATTCAGGGGGATCCAAGTTTACCCTGGGGGTGGTTTGGAATCAGGCGGTGCTGGACCATGGAACGACCTCCGCTCCCCCAAGGGCTGAGGCGTGCGAGGCCCGCTCGCGCCGTGACAATACACCCGAGACCGTAATTGTCCTTTTCCTCCTCTTCCGCCTTCCCATTACCACGCTCATCCACCTGACCGTCATTACCACCATCACACTCACCGCTGCCATCCCCATGGCACGAATCATCAGCATGACCAACACCACCGTCGTCCCACCAACAACATCTTCACCATGCAATCCGCCCCGCCTTCCTCCCGAAGATACCCAGGTGAACTAACGCAATATCATTGTCACCCGGCTTCCCTGGGATATCCACAACGACCAAAAACACATGTCAATGGTGAGCTGGTGCCGAGCGCCTCCGCACAAAACAGAATGTTTGGCAGGCGATTGCCAACATGTGTCTTAAAAGCGAAGCGCGTGGGAGAGAGAACGCGCTTGTGGTATAACGAGTTTGTTCTTTCCCTCTTCCTAACCTTAGTTCCCCCCTCAGGGAAAGGTTTTATCGTTGTTTTTGATTGCGACACACACCCTCCCCAACAGGACAAACAACACCCCCCCGAGCCAATTAAAGCCCCCACCATCTTTGGCAACAAATAACCGCAGCACATGTTGCACCAAAATATGGATCATGCGCGGACGCCCCACGATCATTTCGCATCGGTTTTTGTTACGGACGGCGAAGGGGCCGGCAGATCGCCTGCTCACCATCCCTTCAGGCGCGGACGCCCCGCGATTAATTCGCAGTGGTTTTTGTCACGGACAGTGGGGGTGTCAGCATATTGCCTACTGCGCGCAACGCCAGCAGCGCCGAACCAACCATTCCTGGCACATACCAATACCAAATGCACTCCGCACCAAAACCTGAATCATGCGCGGACGCCCCGCGGTCACAGTGCACGGGACGGCGGAGTGGCAGGCATATGCCCTGCTGCGTACAGGCCAGCCATCGCTTTCAGCAAAAAAATCCATGTGCCCTGTGCCACAAACAGCGAGGGGGGGGCGTACTGCCTGCTGTGCGCATACAAGCTAACCACCCCTACCAAAAACACAAGTGCTGAATGATCGCGGTCGCACACCCGCACACGAAGAAAAACATATCAAACAAACACCAAACATCGTCACTCGACTACTATGACGATCCTTGAAGACTCCTCCCATAAAGGGACATGCCCGACTTGACTCGAACACTGCCTTGCGCTCGATCTGCTTTTTCAATCTAGGCCGAAGAACTCGTCGATCGGCTGCAACGCCCGCATGTGCCAACCACTGGCGCGACCGGCGGCATGAATGGCGACGCCGCGCTCGCCCCCGTAGATCTGCCGACGCTGAATCGACCCCGCCTTGAGAACATGCTACCCTTGAGCTCTTGGTCGTGAACGGCCTTCTCCTGACGGACGTTCTGGAGCGCCGACTCCGCCGTGCCGCAGTGCCGCTTCGACTGGCTAGAGGCCGCGGCGCCCCCGGCCCCCGGGCCTCGCCCGGGCCTCGACCCTCGGCGGGCGCCCTCAGGTCGAGCCCAACTCCTCGATTTGCATGGGCTCCGAGTCCGGCGAACGCGCCCTCCTGGGGCTGAATGACCTGCGAATGGTCGCCGAGCCAACCGCGCCGCGCCGAGTTCGGCGCGACGGACGCGAGGGGCGTGCCGACGAAGACGGCGGCTCGCACAAACTGCTTGCCGACGCACTGACCCGGTCGATCCTCGCGTCTGGGCGCCTGCGTTTGCCGCGTCGCCTCCGTCGTTCTGGCCATGCCGAGCTCGACTGTCTACGCCTTCTAGACCGCGCCGCGGTGGAGGCGCTCCTGGAACTTGTCCGCCGGCACCGCGCACTGGCGCTCTCCGCTGGTCGGGCAAGGGCACGGACGCGCAGCCGAAGGGTTGCAGCCCAGCCCGAGCGCCCGGCTTGCAGCTCCCCGCCACATCGCGAGGAGCCGATCGGCCATCGCGGCGTCGATGGTCAGCTGGCGCCGGCCGCGCCCGCGCACGTTCGCGACCGCCGCGGCGGCTCCGGCCAGGCCAGCCCACTGCAACTGGACATGCTCGGGCGCAGTCACGCCCAGACGATGCGCGTGCTGCTGACAAGCGCGGAAACAATGCCGATCGAATCCGATGTCGAAAACTGGCCTTGAACGCGAGCAGCACCAATTCTCGTGCAATTTGGACTCGGCCGAGAACGGAATGTTTCGATGTATGTCGACCTACCTCGATGTGCGTTTGCTGCCCGAGACGCCCCCTGTCTGCCACTCTCGCCACCTGAACAGTTGGTTGAACTTGCCGATGCCATCGTTTCAGTTGTTGCTCATCTCCCACTTGGACATATGGGCGTGCCCGTTTTGCTGGCGAAGACAACCACATTGCGGCTGATCTCAATCGCATGCTGCGCGATGATGGCCACGCGGTGCTGCATGATGTCCTGAAAGATGCTGGGCACGATGGCAGACCGACGATGGCGAAGATCCGCACCATTTTCCCTCTGGGCCAACCTGGCGCGCTGCAACTGGACGCGCGTCCAGCGCGAAGCCTCCCCCTGTAGGCAAACCTGCACGCGGCCGCTCGTCGATCCGAACTGCAAGAACCTGGGCTCCCAGACATCGCTGCGCGTCTGGAAAGTCGACGGCAAATAAAGCAATCCCTCGAGTCGGCCAACGACACAGCCGAGGTCGGCCATCAGGCATCTGCCGCCGAGAAAAGGCAGTCGAGCGGCATTGTCATCGTCGATCGTCGAGGCGCGCATCGCGAGTGCCCGCTGATGGACCCCGACTGGCAGAGGCCACCTCTCGAAACTTGTCGCGGGAACACCAGGGCAGAAACGACGCCCGCCACGTCATGGGCGCACGCGCGCCTGGAGGCCCCGGGGGTCGAGCAAGCGCTTATGAAGAAAAGCAAGAAAACGTACAAACAAGCCTCGCAATCACGCCGCGGCAGCTAGACGCGCGGCGCCCAACGCCAGCACACTCGCATCGATGTCGATATTCCGGTCGGCGAAAAAGCTGCTAATCCTGGCCATCATTCAAACCACCCGCCCATCACGGACCCCCTTGAATGGAAAATCCGATCGTTGCCCGCCAGCCGCAAGTCGTCATGGACTGTCGCGCATGAGTGGGCTTGCGATGTTTAGCTCCGGCCTCTCGCTGAGCATATCCACGCGCAGCGCCGTCAGCGCCTTGCTGTTTAACGCGAAGTATCCGAGTTCCCTGCGATTGGTGTATATTTGACGTCTCTGCCATCACGCGACGCACATATCCGAGCTGTGCCACAACTGATAATCGGCTCGCCGTGAAGACCTGTCGTGTACTGACTACCTACCAGAACACCCCAACCCAACCCGAAGACCTGAATTTCGGGTTGGGGGGGGTAAGGGTTCCACACGTGTTTTTCCGATGTTTCCCGACCCCCCCCCACTGGAAATCGAGGGTAAATCTGAGCCTTCGGGTTGGGTTGGGGTGGTTTGGTGGGTGGTGATGTACATGCCGATGAAGTCGCTCTCGCTCCCAGCCGCCATCGCGCGCGTCTCTCGCCGCGCCAGGCTGGGGGGGCGCATCCCGTCGGCCACCAGCTTGCCCAGAGCTCGGCACTGAGGGTCGCGGGCCCAGCTCCCGAGGTCGCCAAGGGCCGGGCATCAACTCCGAAACGGACGTGACGCGTCGCGCCGGACCCTTACGCCCTTGACCTTCGGCCCTCGACAGGAAGTCTTTAGCCCTTACAAGACTTCGGTTCGCACGCACCCGCGCCAAAACTTGCCACTCTTGGTGTTGTAGTAATTGCGGGCCCTGGTCCCTGGTCGCCTGGTTCAGCCCGTCGCCGGCCTGATTGAACGTCACATTTGAAATATAAATCTCTCGTGCCAGAGCTTCTGGGAGCTGCTCGGATCAGAAGCCGTCGTCGGTCTCCTCGGCCCAACCGCCCTCGTATCTACACTGCGGATCGTGATGGCCGGCACCAAGACACACAGATTCATGTTCGGATTGCCTCTCGTTCCACCCTTCGCCTGTTGGACCTTCATATGATGCCATGGAACTTGGCATGGACGCTCGACCTTCCGATAACCGCTGCGAAACACAAGCGGAAAGGAACAACCTGGTGGCCACTTCCTTAAGAGGCTTCCATTTCAACCATGAGCCGGTCGCCATGAGGAGAACAGCCTGGATCTTGGCGTCACGCTGCGAACTCTTAATGGACAGCCTGGTGATGACGGGTCAGCGATGTCGTATTCCACGGAGTTGGCCTGTGGCACTGTTTCGCCGACTCTTGACGTCAACTGCTAAAAATCTCACGAGGTTTGATCCGTCACTGTTCCGATATTCACCGATGGTCGGTATTCGAACAACGTCGATTTCTCGAGCAAGAGCTCCACACCATTGTGCATTGCAAACACCGTCAGGCTCTAATGTTCGGGTGGTCGAAAGCCTTCTGATTCAACGCCGCGTACATGCGTGGCGCCATCTCCTGTGGCCCGACAGTTTTTTGGGCGATCAGAGCCCAACTCTCGACCTGAGCTTTGTAGCGCCTGAATACCTTCGGGTCGTCCATATCGCCATCGAGTTCGGGCGGATGGGGTAAATTACTTCGCGGTCGACTGTTAGGGAGCCCACACAGGACGTACGCACCCAGCTATGTACATGAACACGGCCCCTCTATCCGCGAGACCGGCCGCGTTATACGAACATTTGCGCAATGCGTATTCTCGAAACCAGCGTGGATTCATGTACGTGTACGTCCGTCTGTCGCTCCTGAACTGTGGGGATCGTATTCCTTCGCCTGCTAGCGCGAGCCGTGCGAGTCTTGGATGAGTTATCGCAGTCTGACTCCTCGTCCTCTCGTCGAGTAAAAAAGGCTCCTGGTGCTGAGCCTCGCCCAAAGACTGGCACGTCTGAAAGGCAAACCGCCGTACGCTACCAATTCAGTTCGATGATAAGAGATAAGAAATCAACAAACGTGTTTCCTTATGATGAGGTTGGAGCTGGTACCGACTCACAAACGATGAGAAGATTTATCTCGCCAGGTGTGCACGGCGGGCGTCTCGCGCCAGCAAACTTAACAGCTCTGAACGGGCCTATACGGCGCCTGTGCGAGAGGGTGAGCAAAGATAAGAGCAACGAGAGATAGGGGAACGAGTGAAGGTGAGAGAAGGCAATAATATTAGAAGGCAATAGTATTAGCGATATTGCATGCCGGGCTCACCGGATCCTTGGTTGGCCCCACGCGGACCAAGCTGGAACAGAATGTTGCGCTGGCACGATGGCGGAGCTTGCCACTGGCACCTGAATAGTCAAGCGTCTGCGGAAGCGGCGTCAGCATCATGGATCATTTTGTGCCAACGTCAGCGTGTGCCATCCATCTGCCGCCTGAGCCTCGGTCGGAAACGTGAGCTCGACGGTAGTACCTGCAGCACATCGGAGCAGGACTGCTGCCACACAAAAAGCGAGTTGCGGCATGGCTCTCTTCGTTGGAACCGCAGCTCAGCGTGCACCCGACTAGGCTTTCGCGACTCGTTGTGCTGGAATGACTGCACGCCGCGACGCAGACGTCCTTCTCCTCCGTCCTCCTCCCTTCTCCTGATGTTCCTCCCCCCTCCACTCGGTCCTCCGCCTCCTCCTCCTGCTCCTCCACCTCGTCCACCTCCTCCTCCTCCTCCTCCTCCCCCATCCATGTCGCCTTCAAGCGTGGCACACTTACACCCAGGTCACCTCTCGTCAGGGAATCTCGGAGACAGGGATTCTGGGAATGCCTCAGGCGAAGCGTGCAACAGTACCTCGCGAACTACATCTTGGAACCCAGAGCTGTCGGAACGTCTCAAGCCAAACGAGCCAGAAACCCTCAATTCAGGGCATCTCGCAGTTCGGAGGATGTCTCAGGCGAAACGGGCCTGAGTACCTCGCGAACCACACCTTGGAACCCAAGGATGTCTCAGGCAAAACGGGCTAGAGCACCTCGCGAGCCGTATCTTGGAACCCAGAGGTGTGAGTTGCGAGGATGTCTCAAGCCCAGAAGGCCAGAGAAACTCAACTCGAAGCACCTCGGAGCCTGGGATTCCGAGGATGTCTCAAGCGAAACGGGCCTGAGAACCCCGCGAACCGCATCTTCAACTCAGAGTTGTGGGGACATTTCAGGCCAAACGGTCAGAGCCAGGGATTCCGAGGACGTCTCAGGCGAAACGTGCCTCAGTGCCTCGCGAACCACATCGTGGAGTGATGAGGACGTCTTGAGCCAAACGGGCCAGAGACCCTCATTTCAGGGCATCTTGAAGCCTGGGGTTCAGAGGATGTCTCAGGCAACAGCGCAGTGAGGATGTCTCATGTGAAACGAGACTGGGCATCTCATGTCAGGGCATCTCGGAACCAAGGGTTCCGAGGATGTCTCAAGTGAAACGGGCCTTAGCACCTCGTGAACCACATCTTCAACCCAGAGTTGCGAGGACCAAACGGGCCAGAGCATCTCAATTCGGGGCATCTGGAAGCCTGGGGATCCGAGGATGTTTCAGGCAAAACGGGCCAGAGCACCTCGCGACCCACATCTTGGAATCCGGAGTTGCGAGGACCTCTCGAGCGAAACAAGCCATAGCATATTAAGTCAGGGCATCTCGGAGCCCGAGGTTCCGAAAATGGCTCTCTGTGGGCCATGTGGCGCACCCAGCTCTTTTGAGGGCAACCCCTCCCAGGCAGCTCCCAGGCACCTCCCCGGCACCGCCATTGTGGTTGCCGGGGGCGCCCGGAACTGTCCCGGGCGACCCGGGCACCCGGGCTCAGGTGCACTGCCCCCCCGCCAGCCAAGGCAAGCCCTGGATGGTGCCCAAAACAGCACTAGAAGCGAACCGAAATCGCCAGCCAGGACCATACGGCTCCGAAACATACCTCCATCCAGTAAATCAAACGGACCGCTCGAGACATCCTCACAATCTGGGCGCGAACGGGCCCGTGACACACCCTTCATCGGCAGAGCACCAGCCCGCATCACCAGGCACGATCAAGCCGTGTCCAGCCCTGGCGACGAGAAGTGTCCCAAGAGCAATTACAGCAAGATTGCTTGTCTGACCACAATACGAACATTATCCTTCCTCACCCTCGTTCTCAGTCATCCTTCCGCTCTCCTCCTCCTCCTCCTCCTCCTCCCACTCCTTCTTCGCTTCGCACTCCGCAACGGTTCCTCGGAATTGCGGGAAAGACTCGTGCGAAACTGGCTGGACCCCCTCACACGCGGTACCTCTTTGGAGCATGTTATAGTTCCCGGGATAACAGCAGTCATCGGCCCCGCCCCTCCCCCCAGATGACGTCACGTTCCGCGCCAGCTGCGTCCGGACATGCCTACGGATGACCGAAGCCAAGTCGGAGCAGCATGTAGGTGGCGATCTGCACCACAGCGCCTGCGTACACCACACTGCTCGCGTGCACCACAGCGCGCATGTACATCACAGCGCCTGTGTACACCGCAACAGCCGTGTGCAACGCAGCGCCTGTGCACCACAATGCTTCCGTGCAGCACAGCGCCTGTGTACACCACAACGTACGTGAAAACCGCAGCAACCATGTGCAACACAGCGCTTGTGCACACCTCAATGCTTGCGTGCACCGCAGCACCTGTGAAACCAACAGCGCCTGCGTACACCACAACATCCGCGTGCAACGCAGCGCTGGTGTACACCAAAGTGCCTGCATGCACAGGACAGGCAGAAGGATAGGTGAGGATCTGCTGCGGACAGCTAAACACCTCGCCAGGGAGGTTCTGATAATAGAATGCGATGTTCTCCCCTCCTCGTCTTCCTCCACCTCCTCCTCCCCCTCTTCCTCCTTAACCTCATCTCCTCCTCCTCCTTCTCGTCCGCCTCCTCTTCCTCGTCCTCCTCCTCCTCGTCCTGCTCCTCCTCGTCCTCCTCCCTCACCCTTCCGCCCGTCGTGCGGGTCGGCGCTACAGCGCACGTGCGCATCTCAGTGTGCACAGCAGGTGGTCGATTGAATCAGTCCACTTGGTTCTCGGACCGCCAATTCTGCGGGAGCCTCCTGGACGCAGCTGGGAAGACTTAGGATGATGCGGGAGGACTCAGGCAGACTCTTAAATTCCAGCCGCGCTGCTTTTTCCATAGGAACTCCTATCCAAATCCTATTTAAAACGATTATACTCAGTGGAACCCACAGGCGCTCCAGCTTGTCATCATAATTATTTCTAACATTCTATATGCAACAAAAATTGTTTTGTTGCACACGGCAGCTGTGGTGCACACCGGCGCCGTGGTTTACACAAGCGCTGTGGTGCACGCAGGCACTGTGGTGTACACCGGTGCTGTGCTGCACACGGCTGATGTGATGTACGTAGGCGCGGTGGTGTACACAAGCGCTGTGGTGCACGAAGGCACTGTGGCACACACTGGCGCTGTCTTGCACGCGGCTGCTGTGGTGTACACAGGCGATGTGGTGTACACAGGCGCTGTGGTGCACGCAGGCACTGCGGTGTACACAGGCGCTGTGGTGCAGATCGCCGCCTAAGTCAACATGCTGCTGCTACCCGTCCTCGGTCAAGCCCTAGGCATTCCCAGACGCCGCCGGCGCGAAGCGCGACGTCATTGGCCTCCTCCCCACCCCCAAGAAGACGGCCGTCATCGGCCAAACTAACCGGACCAACTCGCGGGCGGCATCTTCAAGCTCAGCGTAACGACGATGCCTCAAGCGAAACGAACGAGGCAACCTCCAGTCAGTGGCCCCGAACCCAAAAGTTTCGTTGATGAAGTTTCAATCGATATAGGCGAGCCCAGAGATGCGAGGATGTTTCAAGCGAAACGGGCCGGACCATGTCCAAATCTGGTCGTCTCGGACCTCAGACATGCGACGATGTCTCATGGGAAACGTGCCGAACAACCTCAACATGTTGCCAATGTCTCGACGCACGGGCCCCATCGGGCGGCAATCGTTCTTACCGTAAAACTGCCCCCAAGCACCGGCCGGGCGACCCGTGAACACTCCAAGACAAGACCTCTTGTCTTGAACAGAAACAAACGAGAATTCCCAATGAAGAGGACCTTCTCGACCATGCTGCTGTACGCACCTGGCAGATAGCCCGGGGGATCGTCCACGATGAGCACACCAGCCGCGCCACCGCCCGCCTGAAGAGCGGTGGAGTGGTGAAAGTGCGGGTGGTACCAGTGCGTGCCGCCCATATGGTAGCCAGGGATGCTGTACTGATAGTCTTTGGAGCCGCCAGGAGGCACCTCGACAAACGCGTCGTCGCTGGAGTACGTCAGCTCGTCAGAGCCCTTGGAAGAGACGTGCAGGCCATGCGTATGCAGATTCGTGGTAGCAGCTTTACAGTACTGAGTCCCCGTGACGTCGCAGCCTACACTGTTGTCGGGTCGGGCAAAAGGGGGGGATAGCAAAGGGGGGGTTTGAGAATCAGCTCACGTAGCTGATTTTCCCGGCGCCTCCCGGCGCTGGAGGCGGTTATGTATCGAGGAATGGGCCCCTCGGTGAGGCCGAAACCAGCTGCATGCAGCAAATTTCGTAACCCCCCCTTTCCCAATCCCCCCCTTTCGCCCGACCCGATGTTGGCACTGTCCAGGCTGTTGATCAAACGGACCGAGAGGGTGCCGCCAGGCTTCACGCGGAACGTGGGCCCCGCTACGAAGCCCCGCGGCATGACCCCGCACGAGCCGCCTGCGATGCACTTTGGGAAGCACAAAGACATACTAGTACTATATGTCCTCCTTGGAGGCGCGCGTCCGACCCGAACATATAGTATACCCATCTTGTAGTATATCGCTTCCCGAGCGGTGTGGCCAGAAAGCGCCCCCCACGACGCATATACTATAAGATTTCTCGGTGCGCGCGTCGCCTCCGGGGGGGCGAAGCACATATAGTATAAGTATGTTAGGGTGATGCCGATACTTCTGTCCAATCTCCAGCGTGTGCCATCCATCCTCGGCCTGCGCTTCAGGTGCGAAAGAGAGCTCCGCGGCACTGCCCAAACATCGCAACGATATTGATGGGCCTGATTTCCACCACCACCACCGCCATAAGTTGGAGGAGGGAAGGAGGTGGAGGACGAGGAGGAGGAGGAGGAGGAAGACGAGAACGAAGAGGAGGAGGGGGAAGAGGAGGAGGAGGAGGAGGAGGAGGACCCCTTCCCCCTCCAACTTACGGTGGTGTGAAACAAGCCCATCAGATATTGCGACCACGCCAGAAGCGACCGCCGGCACGGCCCTGCCCAGGGCGCAGCCGCCCGGCCGCCCTGCTCCGAGTCAGGCAACATGCTGGATCAGAGATGGGTGCGGACTTGAAAGCTGGGAGAGGCTGGCAAGTCCGTGGCTGCTAAAACGGTCTTCCCGAAGGAGACAAACAAATTCCTGGAATCGAGCTCAACGTCTTGAATAGTACACAGGGTGCTTCCAGGGAGGAAACAAAAACACGGAGCTCCGTTTTAACAGCCACAGGCTTGCCGGCCGTCGCCCGGCTTCTGAGCAGACAGCGTTGATGACGGCGGGAAGGGAGAAAGCAAGGATAAGCGGCATGGCATTCAGAAGCTCATCGAGAGGGAGGGACTATTGACGTACGGAGTCCCATCCAGCTCCAAACGCTTCCCCATACAATGTGGCCTGCACAGCTTACACGAGTAAGGATGTCAAGGATTATGCAAGTCTGTCCGCAACGAACTTAGAAGTTGCGCGCTAGCTTCTACTTTTCGACGTGGGAGTGGAAGCACAATGTTGCGAGTACGATCGGACCTCTCCCGGCGTGCTACAGAAAGAACGTTTCATAAGGATACATGGCATGGATCCAAGAACCTTTGAGCGCCCACTTGTTGGCCCACCAGCCCTCTGGGCGTAGATGGTTTAACGAGTAGGTCGTGGGCACCTCGCGTCAGAGGTCTTGCGAGCGTGTGCTCAGGTCTGTGCATGCTCGCATCCCGCAGGAAGACAGCTCGCCGCCGTGGGAGGAGACTGCCAGTGCTAGCACGCAGGTGGAGGAGTCTGGGGCTGGAAGCCATTCGCCAGCTCGAGTTCTTGACGTGGTCCGCGCCAGGGTTGACAGGACCAGGTCTCGAGAGCCCTCGCCCCTCTCCTCGGGTCAGGAGAGCCCGCCTCGAAGACCCAGCGCATCCAGATGGAGGCACCGCTCGTGTTGCCACGTTCGCGAGCCCCGCGCACGGAGCTCTCGACCAGGCCGTGGCCAGCTTCCAGGCGGGGCCCCGTGCTGCTGCTGCCTCCCCTCCTCCTCCCCTCCTTGGTGGTGGGCGGGAGCGGGCGGTGGGGATGGAGCCTCCTCGGAAGTCGCGGCGTCTCGGAGGCACTCGAGGGGGAGCAAGTGTCAACACAGCGCCCGAAACGCATGAAGTTTCTCCGAGTGCCGCTCGTGGACACAAGCTATATGCCACTCCTGGTGTGGTTGTGATATGTCTTTTATGCGGGGGAATGTCCACGGGTAAGAACACCTCGTTGAAAGAGTAATGCCCCCCGCCCTCATATTCTAAGCGTGCCATGTCGCACATTCACAGGCTTCTGACTCGTCGGCACCCTGCGGATCAGCACAGGCACGAAGGTCTGACGTGCCAGTGTAGGCTGCAGTTGTCGGACCCTGAGTTGCACTGGTTGCTACTATAACTGACTTGAGTTTTCTTTGTGTGAGATCGCCTAGCTCTCCTGCGTTCTCCTTCTGCGCTTGCGCGCACTCCCCGCCGTGATCCCGTTTTTTGGGTGGGCCCATGGGGTGTGCGCCGTGCGAGCGCGGGGGCCTGGGCCTATGTGTGCAGGCCCGCCGTCAGTGGCCGTTGGCGCTTCGCGCGACGGACTCCTGCAGGCTGCGTCTTCCTCCTCCTCCTCCTCCTCCTCCTCCTCCTCTTCCTCCTCATCCTCTTGATCTTCCCCGCCATCCTCCCCAGCCTCCTCCCCCCCCTCCTCCTCCTCCTCCTCCTCCTCCTCCTCCTCCTCCTCCTGCTGATCTTCCCCGCCATCCTCCCCCAAATGCCCCCCTGAGGGTTTCCACAACGGCCGGGGGAACATTGTCTAATAGCTTGACAGAGCTCTTGCCACAACGCTCGGCCACATGGGCGATTTCAGAAGGCAGGGGGCGGCGGTGATTTGCAGTAGGCATCTTCGATACAAGGCTCGGGCGGAGGTAATGAGGGGTGCCCAAACTTGGAGGTGAAAGAAATGACCATTGAAGGGGCCCGTTTGGGCCCCTTCTGAAGTCAGCAGGGGCCCCAAAACGTTCCCCTTAGGAGCCCTCGAAAAGCCCTTTTCGACTCGCCCTATTTAGGTCACCCCCCATTACCGCCCGGCCGAAAGGCTCCCCCAAACGCGATTCGGGCTTTTTCACTGACCCGGGTCCATCAGACACGGATCAGTCGAGCTTTGCAGGATCAAGATCCTGCAGGATCCTGCGAGCAAGCCCAGGTCAGTGCGCCCCTGGCCCTGCATCCTGCAAGACCTGGCGCTCTGACCGACCTTCGTTTGCATTGACCCTGGTCTATTGTTGGCGGCGCGCAGATTCTGCGCGCCGCCAACAATAGACGGGGAGGGGGGTGGCTTCTCGGAGGGGGCAGAGGGGGGAAGGGGGGGAGGGGAAATGCTTCTCGGAGAAAGGCAGCTTCTCAGAAGGCGCCGGCCCTACACCTGCAGGCACGGCCCGCGCCGTCTAAGAAGCAGGGGTGCCTCTGAGAAGCCTAGCCCCCACCCCCTACCCTTAGGTCGGGCATGCCATCCTACAGGCGGATTCTGAAGGAAAGATAAGACATACCCCGAAGAGAAGCAACACTAATCCCAAGAGCAGGAACACCGTCCCCAGACGGTCTCTTGCCCATTCTTGCATATGCCTCGTGTAGAGGGACAGCCCTCACTGAACCCTACCGCCCTCTGCGCGCGGCCGATCTTGAGCCCCAAGGGGTGGAGGGACATGAGGGCCCAGAATCGAATCGACAAGTCGGATCGGCGACCGACACGAATCGGATCGGCGGAAATCGGTAGCCGAGTCGAGAGAAGTCGCACCGGCAGACATCGGCAGGCTGGAAGGCCTCCGTCGAGGAAGCGGCATCCAGATCAGAATCCGAAGACGAAGCGGCTCGGAACCAAAGGCCATCAAAATCGAATCGAACCAAATCGAAGGCATCGAAATGAGCCCCGGAAAAAGGTGCGGGGGGGCCCCGGGGATCGGCGGCGGCGCGGCCTGGTTCCGACATCGCATGCCAAGGCCGCGGGCTGCGGCCCCGCGGTCCCAGGCGCCGGGGACGGGCTCGCTGCGGCGGCTCGGGCCACGGGCCGCGGCGGCAGCAGCCGGGCGCCCTCGCCGCCGCCGCCGCAGCCGCTGCTACGACCAGAGGCCTCCTGGATGAGGTCGGAGTGGATCAGAGGGCAGAAAATACACCCCCAGGATGATCACCCCGACGCGCGAAGCCGTTCGCAAGCGCACCTCAAGGCAGAATCGAACAGGGCAGGGCTATTTGAAATAAACGCCCAGGGCCGTTTAGTAAACGCAAATTGTCCGGTCCAGATGGTTCCTCCTCCCTTGAACGATGGGGTTGGAGGATCGCGCCGCATCGCCGACGCATCGGCGATGCATCGGCGATGCATCGGCAATGCATGGGCGATGCACTGGCGATGCATCCTCGACGTGGGCGAGGAATCGGCGACGTCGACGTGAAGCAAATCGAAATCGAGCTCCACATCGAGCCGCATCGGCGATGTGTCGGCGATGCGATGCGACCCTCCGACCCCAGATGGAGGCCTAGAAAGACGCAGCAAGGACGAGGATAAAAACGGGGGAGGATAGATCCAGGAGCTATAAGATCCAGCGGCTCTGGAGGATGTTGCGGGCACCGCGGCCTTCTCAGAGCATTCCGGAACGCTCCGAGAGCGCTCCCGAAAGCTCTGGAGCGAATGTATCCCCGTCCTGGCGCCGTCCGAACTGCCAACACCGTCGTTGTCGCCGTCGTCACTGTCCACGTCTTCGCCGTCGCCGTCATCCGGGGAGGAGGAGGAGGAGGAGGAGAAGGAGGAGGAGGAGGAGGAGGAGGGAGGAGGAGGGAGGAGGAGGAGGAGGAGGAGGAGGAGGAGGAGGAGGAGGAGGAGAAAGGCGCAGAGGAGTAAGACGAAGCCAAGACCAGGAGAAAGTCGGATCAGGGCAAATCGGGGACCTCTGAGGTCCGGCGACCCTGGGGGACGCATCGGGAGCAGCGGCCGTTCCAGTCCCACGGGACGCCGCGAGAGCGCTGCGGAACGCTCTGGAGCTGTCGATCCCGGTCCCAGCCCCGCCCGGACGAGGCCGGGAGCTACCCCTCGGTCGCAAGCATGGGGTAGGAAGGCGTTGAGGTAGACTGGATCCCCGCCCGCCCCCGGAAGATGAAGGAGGGGGGAGAGCTCCTCGATCCTTGCAAGGATTGGAACCTGGGGAGCCACAAAAGACCCACGTTCAACGACCGACGGGCACGACCAGAGGTGTGGCACTGCAGGATCACCAGCCGTAGTAGCTTCGCCCTCCGCACAGCGCGAGGCGCGGCGCGTGGCTATCCTGACGCTCTGGACACGCTCCGAGAGCGCTCCGGAACGCTCTGGGACAGGTAATCCCAGACCTTCGCCCCCCCTGGAACAGCGATGCAACTTTCGCAGGCCGTCTCGAAACATCGTGCGGGTGACTTCCCTGGAGGCAGTTTGTCATCCCGGGACCGTTTCTCACAGTCCCGGGGCCCGAAGGCGGCCCCCAGGGGCAAGACAAGTCCACGTAATGCCCAAGTAGGCGCCAAGAGCAAACAAATCGACGACCAGGATCGTCGTATACTTGTCCAGGGCAGTGTCGCCGCGCCAGAAGGAGGCCGAAGATTACGACGAGAGGAGGATGAGGAGGAGGATGAGGAGAGAGGGAGGAGGAGGAGGAGGAGGAGGACGGAGGAGGGAGGAGGAGGATTGAGGAGGAGGAGGAGGAGGAGGAGGAGAGAGGAGGAGGAGGAGAGGAGAGAGGAAGAGGAGGAGGAGGAGGATGAGGGAGGAGAGGAGGAGGAGGAGGAGGAGAGGGAGGAGGAGGAGAAGAGGGGGATGAGGAGGAGGAGGAGGAGGGGAGGATGAGGAGGAGGGAGGAGAGGAGGAGGAGGAGAGGAGGGGAGGAGGAGAGGAGGTAGGAGAGGAGGAGGAGGAGGAGGATGAAGAGGAGGGGAGGAGGAAGGAAGAGAGGAGGAGAGGAAGAGGAGGAGGAGGAGGACGACGACGACGACGGCGGCGACGACGACGAGCGAGGAACAAGGAGCGAGGAGCGAAGAACGAGCTCGGGCTAGGCGCCTCCATGAATGACGACGGTGGCCAAATCGTCCCCCATTCTCATAGTCACAGCAGACGACGACCACGATGACATACACGAGCCGAGCCAAACGACTTTCTCCAACGGGCATGAGCAAGCCGCTGACGGTCGACAAGACCAGGCCGCCGTCACCAGACCCCACCACCACTAGGCCATCTCCTCCTCTTACCACGGTACGGGAGGGGCAAAGAACGGCGATGGACCGCCGCCGGCACAGGGTTCGGCACTTCTGTGACACAGCGGACCGACTGTCGGCAATTCCTCGCGCACCACCTCTGGTCGGCCTGTCAGCAGCCTGACGGAAGTGGTTCTCACCGCTGGTACCCAAGCGATGCATCAGCGAGCCAACCACCTCGCCCACCGATCCCCAGCACGTCCAGGAACAGCCCGCTCCTCTTGCTAGACAGGTCCCACCGAGCACAAGCTGCCCAGGACGGCTGCCAACAGGCCCTCCGACCTACCGCCTCCCCTTGGGGGCGCCCCTTCAGGACGACCCCCAAGCTCTCCTGGCTGCTCAGCGCGCGGCGCACCAGTGTTGGCGCCCTCCCCCCCCTGCCAGCGGGCTCCGCGAACTGCTGGCTCCTGATCCGCTCCCCCCCTTCTGGGCCACCGCGCGGGGTGCCCCCAAGGCGGCGCCGCCACTCAGGGCGCCGCATTACGGATGCCAAAGCGTGTATTCAGCCGCCGGCTCACCGCTTGCGGGTGTGCAGGAGGGTCGAGCCTCGTCCTCGCCGCCACATCCCGCCTCTGCTTTCCAGTCGGGGCCTCCAGAGACTGCGCACGGGGGGAGAGCAGTATCCCCACCCCTGCGGGTACGCGCGGCACCTCCCGCCAGATGAGGCCGGCGCGGAGAGCGCTTGCAGCCCTGGCGACCGACGGACCTCGGCCCGCCGATCTGCTGCGTTCTCCCTCTCCCTCTCTCCCTCACTCCATCTCTCTCTCTCTCTCTCTCTATATATATATATACATATATAAGTGGCACGTGCGTGCCAAGGCTAATACCAAAAAAAACTGAAAGGGCGTTTGAAGCAGGAAGACACCATGACTGCAGGATCGGAGGTGGAATAGGGGAAGCTGGGGCGGCGCCGCCAGGGCGTGCCTGATGGAAGGGGAAGAGGCAGGAGGTGCACGCAGAAGAATCTAAGATCGAGGTCGCACTCGAGCGCAAGTGGGGTTGCCACACCTTGCGATATGTGTACCAGGACCGCCCAGGAAACCTCAGGAGGCCCGACTTGGATACCGCAAGAGGCTCCAGGAGGCCCCGGGATTGTGAGTGTTGTGTGTGTGATGTGTGCTCTGTGTTGTGCGTGTTTTCTGTGCGTTGTAGGTGTTGTGTGTCTTATGTTTGTCTAGCGTGTGATGTGTTGGGTGTGATTTGTCTCTCTTTGTGTGCATGTAGTTCTGAGACCCCAGGAGGCCCCAGGAGGCCCCAGGCGGCCTCAGGAGGCTCCAGGAGACCCCAGGAGGCTTCAGGAGGCCCCAAGAGCCTCCAGGAGGCCGCAGGAGGCCCCAGGAGGTTCCAGGAGACCCCCAGGAGGCTCCGAGGCGGGGTCTGGGGTACCAGAACGCACAGAAAGCCCCAGGAGGCCTCAGGAGGTTCCAGGAGGCCCCCAGGAGGCTCCGAGGCGGGTTCTGGGGTACCAGAAGGTACGTCGGGGCCGATGTTGGGAGGATGTCTCAGGCGAAACCGCCATTCTCTGAGAACCGGAGTCCAAATCATTGAAATTACCATGTGTTTTTGAAAGTTGTATGTTAGAATGTTGAAAGTCCCATCGTCACGATCTGTTGAAGGGTTGGACGATCTGTATGTTAGAATGTTGAAGTATGTTGGACCCTGACGTCACGATCTGCGTGAGGGGTGCCACCGATGTTCAAAATGTCGAGGATGTCCCGAGCGAAACGGCCAGAAAAATCGCGGACGCGGCGCCCCGCGTACGCATCAATCGCCTCTGAGCTCTACTCCCTCGGAGAGGTGCGTATGCGAATATATGTGTATGTATATATATACATACATATACCTATACCTATACCTATACGTATACCTATACATATACCTATACATATACATACACATATACCTAAACTATACATACACATATACATATACATATACGTATACGTATATATAACTATTCATATACATATACGTATACATACACATACACATACACATATACATAGCAATACATACACACACATATATATATATACATAAACATAAGCATGTACAAATACATGCACCCATACATATATATATATATATATATATATATATATATACACCTCCCTGTCTCTCCCTCTCCCCATACCTCCCGAAAGCTTTTCGGGCCTCGGCGCGCTCCTGGGACCGGGCTCCGCCGCAGCCTCGCTGCCGCCCAGCATGCGGCGCGCCGCCGCCCGCGGGGCGCCTCAGACCTGCCAGGGCGCGCCGCCCGCGGGGCGCGCCACCGCCTGGGGCCGCGCCACAGCGGCCGAGGGCGGCGCGCGGCACACGGGCGCGTGCGCGCGGGCGGGAGC